ATTAAGATTATAACACAATGTTGACTGTTGTACCCCTATGTTTGGCATTTTACATATTATGTCTGTTTGTTTTGCTCTAATCTATTTTTACATGATTTCCAAAACCAAAGTAGAATCAGGTGAGCGACACAGGCTCTTGAGAGCCTCTAGTTAAATTTGTCCAAAGGGGGCAAAATTAAACTTTATTTGAATTCATCATAAATTGAATTATTTTGGTTTTTTGATATGGCGAACCTTACAATGGATTTAGATTTTTAATTTTGGGTCCCGTTTTCAAATTGGTCCACACTAAGGTCCAAAGGGTCCAAATGTAAACTTTGTTCGATTTCAACAAAAATTTAATTCCTTGGGTTCTTTGAAATGCTGAATATAACAATGAAATTAGATTTTTGATTTTGGGCCTGGTTTTAAATTGATCCCAATTAAGGTCTAAAGGGTCCAAAATTAAACTTAGTTTGATTTTACCAACACTGAATTCTTGGGGTTCTTTGATATGCTAAATCTAGCCATGTTTTTAGATTGTGGATTTGGGGTCCTGTTATCAAATTCACATTGAGGTCCAAAGTATCCACAAATAAACTTTGTTTGATTTCATCAAAAATTGAATTCATGGGGTTCTTTGATATGCTGAATCTAACCATGTATACAGATTTGGATATTGGACCACAATAGGTGAATGTCCAATTTCAAAATTTTAAGTTCTTAGACCACATTCTTTATGTGTCAGATACCTATCTGACATATGCCAAATGTCCGTCAAATATTTAATATTAATCGGAATTCAGATCTGTATCAAGCTTGGATGTTGTGTCCATACATGCCCGAACTGTTCAGGTTCCACCTCTGCTGTCTGCTGTCAAATCAAGCTACGCCTCAGGGAGCCTGTAAGGATTTTAATGAAAGATGATATCTGACCTTGACCTTTAAACATGGTTCATAGGACAATGTTAAGTTTTTGGGGTTTGGTCTATTTCTCAGATACTATTGCTATAAATAATGGATCAAATATATTTATTATATGGAATATTGTAAGATGTAACTGTCTGTTTGTCATTTGCATGGTTCATTGGTCAATGTTAAGTTTTCATGGTTATGTCTGTTTCTCAGAAATCAACTATATGTGTAGCTAAGAATGGTTGCATTGTGTAGGTGTTGTCTGCAGTGTTCATCTGAACTGACCTCATTTTTATGGTTCATAATGTTCAGTTTTCTAATTAATATAAAAAAGAAGATGTGGTATGATTGCCAATGAGACAAATCTTCACAAGAGACCAAATGACACAGAAATTAACAACTATAGGTCACCGAACGACCTTCAACAATGAGCAAAGCCCACACCGCATAGTCAGCTATAAAAGGCCCCAAAATGACAAATGTAAAACAATTCAAACGAGAAAACTAACGGCCTAATTTATGTACAATATAATGAGCGAAAAACAAATATGTAACATAGCAACAAACGACAACCACTGAATAACAGGCTCCTGACTTGGGAAAGGCACATACATACAGAATGTGTCTGTTTCTCAGATGCTATGAGCTATAGCCTATATTTGGTGTATGGTGTGATTCACTGATGTTGATACATATATCAGACTTTCACGATAAGTAAAGCAGTTGAGACATTGCACCCTCTGCACTCTTGTTTAAAAAAGGACATATTTTGGCAAACATCTATTTATGCTGGGATTTCAATAAAAATTAATATGTTGGTATACTTTGTTATTCCATTTAAAAAAATGATTGCCCACCAAAATATATCTTCTTTTGTTTTTACATTACAGCTGCTGTAGAAAATTTGAGTATATATTCAACAGGATTATATCATCATGATCATTGGAATCTTACAAGAAAAGTGAAAATAAAGAAAGGAATTCATGTGCGAAAATTAAAATTGTAAACAGGAGAATAGTAAATTATACTAACAGACATACAGTTGTGTGAACAAGAGACCAAGAGCAACATAGAATAAACTTGGAGTGTATTATATTTGTCAACCACAAGTACATTAATAACAGATAATGCAAATGAAATTAGAATTATGCTGCACATGTTACATTATTGTGAATATCTGATTCAAAAAAATGTAGTTGTTAAATAAATAGAATTGAAATAACTAAATTTGTAATGTTTGTATGACCACCATATTTTGAGGTCTTTTAGCAAATTCTATGTTTAAGACCAATATTTAAAGGATCATGTGAACTGTTGTCAATAACTTTAATGGGTCCATCCTTGGTCATTTCATCAATCATTTGCCACAGGACGTTAAGCAATCAAAAATCAATCAATCCATTCAAATTACAATTGTGGCGAACAAAATCTACGATCAACAGAAAATGATAATGTCTAATCCCTTCTCTCCTTCACACTGGCTTAAGCATATTCTTTTCTTTTTAATAATAAATTATACTGAGTGTATAAACATGTATTTCTAAAAAGCAGATATTGTGTATACATTGATAAGACAGAAGTTCTCATGAGGGTGTGTTCATGAATTTAAGTTTATGAATATAGATCATTTATATAGGAAGTTATAGATTATTTGTTCTGAATGTTCTACATTTGTTGTTCTCTTTTCTGAATTTATCATTACGGCTTATCCATGTTATCAGTAACACTAAAAATTACTTTATATATATTGGTTAAATATCCATTATTAGCATTTGATTTTCATAGGTTGTGTGATGGTTTTCCTTTAAGGGCTGTTCCATAAAAACATACAGGGGATCCAGGGAAGGCACTTTGAAATCTCTACTATGGTTTGGTGTCAAGTCATTTATATTACAGTGTAAATGTACTTGAAATTCTAAATTTATGGAACAGCCCTAATCAGTAAATTTTTAAAAATTTAGATACATGTACAAATGAATTATGAAATCAGAAATTTTGTCAAAGGTTTGAAATCAAAAGATGTGTAAATTTATCATAAGATTGATTAAGGCATGTAAGGAGTGGAATACAGTGCAAAATCATCTGAACAGACTAAAAAAAATGCTGAAAATTATTGATTGGCCAATGATTGCATTTATAATTTCCCCTGACATACATGTATATAGCAAAATGAATAGCATGCATGAAATAAGATTGAACATAAATAATTGGTTTTAAACTACAGTGACAATGAAAAAAAAATCCTAGTGAACTTAATAATTTTGATATGGCATATCATATCAGATACGCTATTCCTGAAAATTGAATTTAGTTTTTTTATTAGCATCAGAAACTTCAATTCCCTTTTTAATTTGTATATGTCAAAAAAAAAATTCAAATTGTTAGTGTGTACACAAAGAAAAGACAAGTATTTATGGTTTATTCATAACCAACCAAAAAAAAAAACTCCATGAATCATAATGTATTTGGGTGTTGTGGACAACAAAAAAACAGGTGTGTTACTTTACAAAAAAAAAACATTCATAAAGCTGGTGTTGATGACCCAAAAAAGCATATATATTATGGGTGCTGTGAACAAAAAATAACATACGTAAAACGGGTGTTGAGGACCAAAAAAACATACGTATAACGGGTGTTGAGGACCAAAAAAACATGCGTAAAACGCATGATTTGCGAGAAATCAACAGACGTTGGACGTTTTACCCGTAAAACGGGCTTTATACGTAATCATTTAACGCATTTTTAACGCCAACGCACGTAAATACGTGACTGTGTTTAACATGCGTAATTCATACGTTTCTACCATGCGTTTAACATGCGTGGTCCTCAATATGCGTTTTACGTATGTTTTATAACATACGTAAAACGCCTGTTTTACGTCTGAAAAACAGGTATGCAATTTTTGCTGTGTATCTGCCATATTTCACATGATTGTTGAAGATTATTTATTGTCTAGACTCGTGTCTATTAAGAACATGGTATGAGTGCTGATGATTATTTATTATGAGAACTCTTGACTAATTAAGATCATGGTATGAGTGTAAATTTATTTTTTGTCTAGACTCGTTTCTATTAAGTACATTGTATGAGTGTTGATGATTATCTATTGTCTAGACTCGTGTCTATTAAGAACATGGTATGAGTGCTGATGATTATCTATCGTCTAGACTCTTGTCTATTAAGAACATGGTATGAATGTTGATGATTATTTATTATCAGGACTCTTGACAATTAAGAACATGGTATGAGTGTTTGTGTTTTTATTGTCTAGACTCTTGTCTATTAAGAAACTGGTATGAGTGTTGATGATTATTTATTATCAAAACTCTTGACAATTAAGAACATGGTATGCGTGTGGAAGGTTGTTTATTGTCTAGATTCGTGTCTATTAAGAACATGGTATGTGTGTTGATGATTATTTATTTTCTAGAATCGTGACAATTTCGAACATGAGGTGTGTATTGGTGTTTATACTCGTAGCGTTTTAGTACATGGTATGTGTGTTGGTACTATTTTATTGACTAGAATTGTGACGATTTAAACCATGGTATGGGTGCTTGCTTATTGTATAGAGTTGTAAAGAGTTAACCAATGGTATGGGTGTTGGTTGCTTGTTTATTGTCATTGTGACGATTTAAAACATGGTTTGTGTATTGTTGCTTGTTTATTTTCTAGACTCGTGTAAATTAAGAATATGTTTGTGTGTTTGGGCTTGTTTATTGTCTAGACTTATGTCAATTAAGAACATGGTATGAGTGTGGATGAGTGTTTATTGTCTAGACTCGTTTCAATTAAGAACATGGTATGAGTGTGGGTGGTTGTTTATTGTCTAGACTCGTTTCAATTAAGAACATGGTATTTGTATTTATTATTGTTTATTACATAGACTCGTAATGATTTATAATACTGCATGTGTTTTGGTGCTTGTTTATTCTCTAAACTCGTGACGATTTTTGGAATAGTATGTGTGTTGGTGCTTGTTTATTGTCTTACTTATTATTTGATCGACTTGTTTTATCGGTTTGTAATCTCACGTAACCATTTTAATCATTTAAAAGATCTTTAATAATAAATAGAAAAAAGTCAAATACAATTAACATATAGACGTCATTTGTCAGTATCCTTTTTCACTATTTCATTATCTGTTTACTGAAAATCAAAATTCAGCTAAAGTATTTCAATCAGACAATTGTTATTGAATAAAAACGTCTCTCCACTTTCGTTATTGAAATCTTTAGTCATATGACGTATAAGAATCTTGTTAAATAAGTTCTACATCCCAGTATTACGATACATTATGATTGTCATTCTATCGATATTCCGTGACCTAATATTGCAATTAGATCTGTTAAAATGCATTCTTGAGCAATCTAATCAAATCTTTTGAGCAAAATGGTTGTTTTGTACAGTCTCAAATTATCCATTCAGCAGTTTACTGAGAAGAAACATCTGCGATTCCAGTTTTTCATTACGATGAAATATTATACACAACAATGTCCATCTAGAACCTTACACAAACGAACAGCCAATCATAGACAATACTCAAACAGTTAGATCCATATTATAACTGTATACAATAATGGAAGCGGAAGTAGTATGGAGCCAGCATTCACAACACTGATAACATTAACGGTTTCCACAATGCTTATAAGTCTTTCCGACATAAGAGGTCTTTCGTGATGCTTTTCCATTAAACCGCCTAAAAAAACAATCTATATAAATCATATTGAATAATTATGACATAATAATAGTGATTCTATAGTGTGATGAAGCGTCATTAATCAGTGTGTTTATACTGAATTTGTTAAACAAAAACTGTACATTAGAAATTATTGCGATATTTTTTTTATTGCAAATAATGGAAAATTTCTGTCTACACACATAAACAAAGTTGATTATGTGTGACATGTGTGTGACTGTTCATAGAAAGGATTGCCGTGAAACATTTGTGTGACTGCTCATAGAATAGATTGCTGCGAGACATGTGTGTGCCTGCTCATAGAATAGATTGCTGTGAGACATTTGTGTGACTGCTCTTCGAATAGATTGCCGTAAAACCATAGACATTACATTTTGGGTGATTGCTCATAGAATAGATTGCTGTAAAACCATCCTTTAACTTTAGTACAGAACCATAGTTATATGCAAATACACGTTAAACTTGAAGTATTTTTTTCTAATTATGTAATATATTTTGCACTGTTTCTTTTGTATAAAAACAAATACTAAATATTTTGATTTCTAATGAGGTGTAATTGTATGCTAGGGTTTCATGCTTTAAGTTTCATGTTAATGAATGTCAAAACTGTTCCTATTAAACAGTTACGTGTTGTATGCATTGGGTAACATATCAAATTAAATACTGAAAACCGGTGTATAGAATACCAGATGTTATAGTAATATTCGTTCTACTGTCTATTGTTTATAATTCTCTCATGACGAAAACTATTAAAGGGGCATTAGCTGTCAAATTCATGTTCAACGAGTTGACTCAAATTCTCATATTTGATTTATAACATACTAAAACGTATATCCAAATTATTAAAAGTCTAAAATAAAAAAATTACGATGCATGGACTCGATAATATGTATCAGCATTTCGTGTGTATTTTAGTCTAGACGCCGTCTAATTAACCATTGAGGTGACCACCAAAGACTGCCGACGGCCATATAACCTGATATAAACATAAATAAAGATATAAATAGATAGCAAACACGTGCAATTGGATTTTTCTATGTGTGTTTGATTTCATATCATAGGTTTGAAATATGTTAATCAACGTTTTACCTGTATAAGAATAAGTTTTTGTGGATAGAATCAGTCAACCAAATGATTTACCCATGTTTCACTTTCAATGTTGACATTCTTTTCCTTTTAATAGCTAAACACGCCTAGTTTATGCGTAAACCATCTCTAGGTAAGGGGTTAAATTGAAGGTCACATGAATACAGATTCAATGAGGTCGAATTATTCACTTGCAAGTGAATAATTCATCAGCGATGTTTCTTAGCTTATTTTGACAAAATTGAACCAGACTGGCTGCTAAAAGCGAATTATTATTTCACTTTTTCACTTCAATTAATCATTGAACAAACAAAAATTATATCTTATTTTTTTTTTTCTCGTAGCTAGTGCCCCCTTAAAATCGCTCGAAATTGGGGCTACGGTACATATGTTTTCATTGCTTTTTAGGACAAAATACAACATATAAATCTCTTTAAATTAAATCCTTTGGATTTATACGGAAGCAAATTAAAAATTCGAGATAACTTATAATAAAAGATTTACTAATTATGATATCTGTGATAATGAATTAAATCCGTGATCAAGATTTACAAAATTATAATAACTATTCCACAGATTCATTTATACGAATTTAAAACGTGATATATATAACGAATTATAATAAGCGATACAACTCATTCAATTTATGATAACGATTTTAATCCATGATCACGATTTTTTAAATACATAAAGTGATTCTTGAATTCAATGTATATTTTTGAGATATCATTGGGCTTCCGTAGATAATACCATTGTTTGAATTTTTCCGAACACACTTACCGGAAACATTCCCACGTGCATAAAACTGTACCCATTCATTTGTAAGATCAACACCACTGTCTCTCCTCTTAACAGGCACAATAAAGCGACAATATATATATCCATTTTTGCTTTCGGAATGTTTAAGTGCAAAGTTTTGTTTTTCCTCGGGACGAACATGTGGATGAGGATCTTCAAATGAAGCAGCTCGTATAGGCATGGTTCTTGAATACTGGTAGATACATCCAAAAATAGCATCGCCACCCTAGAATTCATTTTAGTATTAAAAGAAGAGTTAAGACTTTAGAAAGATTTTTTTGCTAATAATAACAAACTGACTATGGTGTATGTGTGTAATAACAAACTGACTATGGTGTATGTGTGTATGTGTGTTTGTGTGTATGTGTGTTTGCAGTAGTTATGTTTTCCTTTAAATTACAACAAAATAATCCCCTTGTTTGTGGATCATTTAAAAAGGAGGAATACAAATTTGTGTAGAATTAAAAAAAATCCTGAAAATAAAACAACATTGAAACAAAAAACCATATATGTAACACGAAAATCTAAATGAAATTACAGTTATGGTTTGTGAACGATATATATTACTGAACGTTTTACTAGGAGCACGTCCGTTATGTACATAACGGGGAGCTGGGACTTTTACGATACGTCATGATTAGCGATAACTCCTAATATTATTAATTCGTATATTTTAACTAATTTGATTCGTTCAGTGATAGTCACATGTTAAACTATATTTTCGAAGGTAGACAGAAAACGGCGGATAGCAAAAAGCATATTGCATAGCAAAAAAGCATATTGCACGGTTATTTTTAGAATATCTAAAAACCGATATACTTTGTGACGTCATGTAATGAATTTCATGATATTGTTAAAAGTTTTATTAAAACATATCTTTGATCGATTATTTGAAGAAAAAAAATCTTCAAATAAATAAGATGTTAAAAAACAAACATAAAAAATAAATGAAATAACAACTAATATGTTGTTATTGTCTAGGAGACAATATGATATCTATAAATTTCCAACAAAATTAAACGACGATTTTCATACAAATATGGTCGGAAATTAAGAGATAACTGTATTGTATTTGAAGCTTTGCGGACGTCCATCGGTAGTTTTACTGTCGCAAATTTAGTTTACCTGGCGACGCGTAGCGGAGACAGGTAAACGGGTATTTGCGACAGTAAAACTACCGATGGACGTCCGCAAAGCTTCAAATACAATACAGTTATCTCTATTCTAATGCAAAACAAGTACATAATTCAATTTCAATCATTATTTCAGTGTAAAATTCCCATTTAAGAAAATTCCGCGAAAAGATGTTATCATCTTTGGCCCCAAAACTAGGTGACGTCATAGGTATGCTTCCGGCGTCAAACGTAAACACCGGGCGTTTTCTGGCTTCTTGGCCGCTTCAGAATGTAATAAAATTTGATAAAAAGAAGATTTCTAGGTGCAACATGTGAGTTTTTTTGCTTATTATTGTAAAAATTACATGTCAATACATTCCGCAATTCAAAATGTCGGCTTCCTTAGTTACAGACAAGGACATAGAGAATTTTACGCTTTCTGTCATCCAATCAGAACTATTGATTCAAAATAATTGCATTAGAATTATAACAATTATAGCCTATGTATGAGGTCAATACAGGATATATCGACCCAAAGAAGTATATCGACCTCGGACTTCGTCCTCAGTCAATATACTTCTTTCAGGTCAATATATCCTTGTATCGACCTCATATCAAGGCTATAATTGTATAATATTATTAATTCGTATTTTTTAACTAATTTGATTCGTTCAGAAATAGTCACATGTTAAACTATATTTTCGAAGGTAGAAAGAAAACGGCGGATAGCAAAAGCATATTGCACAGCAAAAAGCATATTGCACGGTTATTTTTAGAATATCTAAAAACCGATCTACTTTGTGACGTCATGTAATGAATTTCATGATATTGTTAAAAGTTTTATAAAAAAAATATCTATGATCGATTATTTGAAGAAAAAAAATCTTCATAAACATAAGATGTAAAAAAAATGTAAATGAAATAACAACTTTTATGTTGTTATTGTCTAGGAGACAATATGATATCTATAAAATTCCAACAAAATTAAAAAATCAAATCAGAATTTTGATACAAATATGGTCGGAAATTAATAATATAACAATTATAGCCTATTGATGAGGTCAATACAGGATATATCGACCCAAAGACGTATATCGACCTCGGACTTCGTCCTCAGTCAATATACTTCTTTCAGGTCAATATATCCTTGTATCGACCTCATACAAAGGCTATAATTGTATAAGGTACATCTTAAAGAGTATGGACACGTACTATATACCTTGAAGAGCGAGACCAAGCACGGTACGTAATAAAATGTTTGAACACGTACGGTAATTCATGAAGAGTGGTAAAATTTCGGTACATCATGAAGGGGAAGAACACGTACGGTATATCTTGAAGAGTTGGAACACGTACGATACATCATGAAGGGGAAGAACACGTACGGTATATCTTGAAGAGTTGGAACACGTACGATACATCATGAAGCATAGAAACACGTACGGTATATCTTGAAGGGGAAGAACACGTACGATACATAATGAAGGGGAAGAACACGTACGGTATATCTTGAAGAGTGGGAACACGTACGATACATCATGAAGCATGAAAACACGTACGGTATATCTTGAAGAGTTGGAACACGTACAATACATCATGAAGCATGGAAACATGTACGGTATATCTTGAAGAGTCTGAACACGTACGGTACGTAATTAAGAGTGGGAACATGTACTGTACATTATGAAGAGACAACACATACCGTACATGTTGTAGAGCGAGAACAAGTTCGGTAAATAATGAAGAGTAGGAACACGTACGGTGCATGGCGAAGATTGGGTACGTGCGATACATCATGAAGAGTATGAACACGTACGATATATCATAAAGAGTAGGAATACGTATGGTACATCATGAAGAGTGGGAAAACGTATGGCACATAATGAAGAATAGGAACAAGTACGGTATAAGACGTATGGTACATCATGAAGAGTGGGAACACGTATGGTATATCATAAAGAGTAGGAACACGTACGGTACATCATGAAAGTGGAACACGTAAGGTCTTTCGTGAAGAGTGGGAACACGTACGGTACATCATGAAGAATAGGAACACGTATGGTACATCATGAAGAGTGGTTGCAAGTGCGGTACATCATGAAGAGTGGTTGCAAGTGCGGTACATCATGAAGAGTGGTTGCAAGTGTGGTACATTATGAAGAGTAGGAGCACGTATGGTACATCATGAAGAGTAAGAAGATGTTCGGTACATCATGAAGAGTGGTAACAAGTGCGGTACGTTATATAGAGCGATATCACGTATGGTATATCTTGTAGCGTGGGAACATCTACTGTATGCCATGAAGAGTAGAACACGTACGGAACATCTTAAGGAATGGTAACACGAAGATTCATCATTAAGAGTTTGAATATGTACGGTACGCCATGAAGAGCGAGAACACATACGGTATATCTTGGAGAGCGGATCACATTTGTTCGATCAAGAGGGGTCGGGACAATATGAGGAGCGAGAACATGTGTTGTACATCATGACGAGCGATAACACTTCAGTACATCATGAAGAGATGTACGTACTACTTTTATTAATCACCTGATTAAATTTTAGTAATATTATTATTTTCATGATTTATTCGATGGACGTCGAAAGAAAAACCGTACATTTATTTGACGTAAATGATTTTTCGTTTTGATATTACTACTATAAATATCTATATAAATACTCACATATAATAACACTAAATGGTATGAGAATAATTATTGCAATTACACAAATGTATTAGAAAATAATTAACTTTTGTGGTCCAATAGTTAATTATAACATTGAATGTGCAACTATTCATCAAAATTAAAAATTTCTTTTTTTCCAAAATCTTTTCACCATTTTTCTGTCCGAAGAGAATCCAACTGCCAACCAACCATCAGATTTTCCACTAAGTTCAAAATCTACAACTGCCTTTTGTTTATCCATCCAGTAGCTAAGAAAATATTCGCACTCAAAGTGTTGACAATTCTTTACTCCATTTCTGAAATTGGTAAAATAAGGATGAATCTTTCATGTCTCAAGATATGTCCTTCCCTCTATGCCATGAAAAACAATAGGTGTGAGATCATAATCTATAAGACAACAACCAGTCAGTTAAAGCTAACCAAATAGACATATAAAGTATCATATAATGATCTGTCTTCAACAAAAGACAAAATCATACCCCCCTAAATGTAGAACAGTTTTAAAAAGTTTGAAAAAAGCAAATTATCTTAGACCTCGATATATTGCATTATATATGCATGACAAGTACCTTATATGTGGTTGAAGCTCGTATCTTGACCTTTAAATGTCATAAGCTTTTTTTATGTTGTTGAGTTGCTGTCTCTTTGATGTCATTTACTACAAACTTTCTTTGATTCATACATAGATATGTGGCGGGATTAAAGTAATATTTTTTTTTATTTGCCCCTCCCCCTTCTTATACCTCAGTCAGTGACTGAAAAAACGCACGATATAAATCAAAATTAAATAAAATTTGAAATAATTCAAAAAGAGAATAGATAATATACATTACCGAAATACAACAAAATATATCCGGTAAACAATACTAAACTGACAGTACCAAAGAATACTATTAGTAACTTGAAGCAAGATGGATATTTATTAAAGAACGCCTTATCAACGTTATATCGAATCTGCTGTATTCTTAAACAATGTTTTTATACAAAAGCAGTCTAGAAAAAAATGTGTGAGAAACGCGTTGTAATGCAAAGCCCGTAATCAAATAAGTGTAAAGAATTTCCAAATATAGAGAAACAAAAATTAATGGAAATTTAGCTATTGTTTAAAGAATTGATTAGCGAATAACACTGAACTCCAAAAATACCACAAAATGCCAAGAATTACCAACAACAATTGAATTAAACACTTTGTTAATAAGTTTATTTAACTAGATAGAAAGGTGAAAGTTATATGTGTTCCTTTATTTACGAGAAAAATATACATGACATATAATACAGGAAAGACTACTATTTATTTGATTCCTATAAGAGGAACAATATTTCCATCATGATTCAATATACTAGTATTTGAAGTAAAGCAACGTGAAAACTTTGTCTGGTTTATGATATACAAATGATTAATTCAATAGCTTTTATCAATAAAAATGTAGCGTTCATTTAAATGTCAAGGTTCTGCATTCACCTGTATATCGACAAAGATTCCTTCTATCAAATAGTTCATACGAAAATAAAGTATTTGAACTGACTTTTCGATGGATGTTTTAGTTCTGACAAAATGACTGTGTGCATTGTTCTGTCTTCTAATTGGCCTTTCGAGATTAGATGTATGGTGCGTCTTATTTTTGTAATATCTGTACTAAACCACAAAACCGTCCTTCTAGGGGTTGCCGTTAGTCATATTTTGTAATTAAAATATGGCTGTTAACTGTAACTTAAGATTTTTAAATCAAGTTTTACCAGAGTCCTTTTACAGCTTACGGAATATGCCGTCGTCTTTATGTTAAAGGCCATCGAAAAGACTGAATAACAAAAACGGTTCAAACTATTTCATTGCTGTAAAAGCATGATGTATAACCATATGTATAATGTAGAAACATTCAGGATCGTTATTAAATACATAGTAGAAGTAATGACGATAGACGAGTCAGTAATAAAATATAATACTTCCGGTACTATATTAAGATTAAAACTACCCAGTAATGGCGACAATATCATCTTTGGAATGAAAACCAAAGGGCTCTGCATTGAGTTTGTTAACAAAGATATCTAGCTACAGTCTTTATCGTTCGATTAAATCGGAAGCACATAATATTATATACAGCGCTATTTGAATATAGCTGTAAATGAATGGAAATTTTCCTATCAGTCATCTTGTAAAACAACATTGGTTTTGAACTCTTAGTAATTGGTTGCTACTCGTGATATAGAGAGAAAACATACGCCTTATCTAGTTAACATTCATTATAATACAATATGTCTTCATTGATCAGGTATATATCATGCACAAAGTAAAAATAAAAGAGTTTTCAGGATTAGACCATGACCCCTTTAGCAAAATCATCTTCCTCTAATTAAAGTATATTTATATTTTATAAAACTTGACCATAAAAATACGAAGATGTGGTGTGCTTGCCGATGATACAACTCTCCACAGAGACCAAATAACATAGAAGTTAACTATAGGTCACCGTTCGGCCTTCAACAATGACCAAAACCTACACCGCAATAAATAGTAAGCTATAAAAAATGACAAATATAAAACAATTTAAACGAGAAAACTAACGACCTGATTAATGTACAAAACAAAATGTGGTGGGGTTAAACATGTTTGCTGGCGCCAAATCCTCCACTAACTTGGGACAGTGGTGTAACGGTATCACATACGAACAAACTTTAAAAATCAGTTGAAAAGGGCTTAACTCATCAGATCGATACAAATCACAATAAAACCTTAACAAAAACACAAAAGTGGAGATCTGAAGATACTCGCAGTTACTGATAGCTAGTCCGAAGCCAATAACAACTAATAACAAAACAAGTGTCTAAGACTACAATATTAACCAGTATACATCAAACGTCCAATGGATTTTTTTAGTGTAAAGACGTCTTTAACAGTCAGTGAAAAACATGACCTTGTGCAATGTCAAAATATAGGTATCAACAGATTGTAGAACCGTTAATATACATATGTGTTAAACAATAATATTTAGTTTGGTTTTAATTTACTGATTACTAAATCAACTTTTATACCTATAAAACAGTATTCAAAGATCTAGTTACAGTTAATTGGTAACCTTTTAAAATAAATTTATTTAAAGGATATATAAGTTTACCCGGATCGTATCTAAATGCACGGGCTCGGTTAACAACATGACCGTAAAACATACAACTTTCAAACCAAATCTTTGAATCATGTTTTGTTTGTTTTTTTTTGGAAGTTTTTTTTATACTTTTTAAGTGAACTTGTTTGAAAACTTTAAGTTGCGCGAAAAAAATATTTGTTTTGCACGTATATAATAAAATATACGCATTTCTTTTTGCTTGAAACGATTTGAACTCCAAAATAGTTGAAATTAAAGACAATGCCGAATAGAAAATTGTAATAATTGTTTTGAATAAGAAACACTTTCAATTAATTAAGGCGATACCGCCCCGGTGTACGGGAGGTTTTGGGTTCAATCCTTGGCCCGATTCAACCATAAACTTTAAAATTGATAATTACTGTATCTCCTCTAAGCCAGCGATATTTAGGAACAACTTATATACCAACTCATTATATACTAACTCATCATATACTTACTCGTTATATACTAACTCATCATATACTTACTCGTTATATACTAACTTAATAACTCATTATATACAAACTCATAATATACTAACTCATTATATACTAATTCATCATATACTAACTCATTATATACTAACTCATTATAAACTAACTCATTATAAATTAACTCATACCATGTAAGGTTTGTACTATACCTGAAGCAGCTTCTGGTCTTTCCACATTCTGATCCATCTGAAATATATGCTATAAAATTGAGAATGGAAGTGGGGAATATGTCAAAGAGACAACAACCCGACCAAAGAGCAAAAAACAGCCGACGGCCACCAATGGGTCTTCAACACAGCGAGAAAATCCCGCACCCGGAGGCGGGCTTCAGCTGGCCCCTAAATAAAAATGTGTACTAGTTCAGTGAAAATGGACGCCATACTAAACTCCAAAACATATAAATGAACTAAAATAAAAAAAAACATACAAGACTAGCAAAGGCCAGAGGCTCCTGACTTGGGACAGGCGCAAAAATGCGGCGGGGTTAAACATGTTTTGTGAGATCTCAACCCTCCCCCTCTACTTCTAGCCAATGTAGAATAAACAAACACACAGCAATAAATCGTCTATAAATGAGAAATGCTTGTTTTGTTTGTGGTAGTACTACATTTAATTATAGATATAATACTGACTCATAAAAAGAGATCACAAATGTTCTAGAGGCATTTTGCCCCTTGAATTCGAATATGACTATCTGGTATAAATCTATCAAATATCCGCCAGATATTCGAAAGAATTTTTTCATAATTGCTTTAGGTCTTGTAACATCTTGCATGCAAGTAAAAACTTAAAAACGACACGGCAAAAACAAATTGACTCATCTTGAGAGCTCCCCTATTTATATCTTAACCCAAAAAGATATTTTGACGTATGATGTCTTTTCCAAAGTTGTATATAATTGTTTTGGTAATCTGTTGCGTTTAATTGATTTTGCCAAAGCGACCTGTTACATTGCCATTTTTTGTCAAATGTGTCAAGTTTGAAATGATTACACGTATAACGTCAATTAACAAATATATATATTTCTTCACTAAAAACACGACCAAGTCGTCCTATTCGTTTATTCCACCAACATGATTGAGATGCCAACTAATGGCCGAACCGATAGCAAAATTGTAGTCTCTAAGATACCAATCATAGAACGAGGGACACAATTTGTTATTTACCTCATAACCTATGGAAAGCCAACGGGGTCGAAATTCCTAATTCGTAAATTGTCAATTTGTAACTTGTAACTGTGTAATTTCAAAAATCTTAATTCGTAAATTGTCGATTTGTAACTTGTAACTGTGTAATTTCAAAATTCTTAATTCATAAACTGTCAATTTGTAACTTGTAACTGTGTAATTTCAAAATTCTAAATTCGTAAATTGTCAATTTGCCACTTGTAACTGTAATTTCAAAATTCGTATATTGAAAATCTTTATTTGCGACTTTGTAATTCATTAAATCTAACATTCGTTTACTATTTCTTATTTTGCCATTCTTCATTTATATTCACGTCACTTAAATATTTGCCATAGACACGGTGAAATTGGTATATTGATGTTTTGTAACTTAAAACATGTCGATTTGTTAAATGTCGATTAATTAAATGTCATCGTTGTAGTATTCTAACGATCTTCATGACGACAGATGGCGCCCGGTTTTCTTCTTCTGTGTATAAGCCTCCTGGAAGAAGGAGCACCTCCATATGGAATATATACCCTTAGTAATTTAACTCAGTTATGTACAGCACATACATATCAAAGAAAACAAATAGATAAATAAAGTTTTTGTTTTCATATGGCATATATACAGGAACTCGGATTTATTTTGTTCGAGAACGGAAACTACAAAGAAAACCCAGGTAATAAACGGTTTCTATTAATCCTAAAATGCGAGTATCGGACCATTTGATTTTGACTGAGGGGGAAGGGCTGACATATATACATTAATGTACATGAACTCATGTTTCGCGAGAATTGTTTCTGTGAGGTCTTCTCTCTGACCAGCCAGTAGAAGTACTGGACAAAAAGTATTTCTCGCCGGCAAGTAATTTTTGCCACCCCATTTTTGTCGCCTCTCCTGTCGGAAAAGTTATACCTAAACTTGAAGACATAACATCTAACAGATCGCTGATATTTTGCTTTCTAAAATTAGCTGTCATATATGAAGATTTTCATGGAGAAATAAAATTAGGGTAAGCAAATTGGAGAGAATTGCTTCTGTCATGAAAATGGCGAGATGGCGAGATGTTCTCTCTGACCAATCAAAGGAGGGAGGGAGAGTCACTTTGGTTAAAAGTGGGTATAGGTGTGTAATAAAAAAGAAACAGTTTCATAGTTTTACAATCATGGTCATTGACAAAATATCCACAGGGTACACCAGGACATCACACCATTATACTACTAGTATATGTCATGTCTCGACGATCTAGTATTCATTACGTTTTCTGGTTGGTCAGATTCCTTTAGACTTTATATATATATATCAATATATTGCATATTCAATACAGTTTTGATATATAGTATGCATTAACTAAGTGACTCGTTTAAAATAATACTTCTTTGCTCATTCAATTTGTTTTGCAAAGTACAAACATGATATTAAACAGTTTTATCTTCATTACCCAAGACCCAAATAATTAAAGATTTTTCATCTATTTGCTTCTTGTATTTAAAAATTATTAGATATTTTAATTCTTTTCCTAAATTTTAACATTGAGATTATAATATTAAGGAATCATGGGTGTCAACCCATTTTTCCCATCATATATTTTGTCCAAAATTTCCGGCCCAGAACAATGTTAGTCAGATTTTTTCGGCACAGTCTTATATTTCATGTATTTAGTCTGAAATGTTTTACCCGTCATATATTAAGTCTGAAATTTCCGACCAAGTGACAGTCATATATTTGCCAAGTTGAAAAAGGGACACATTCCAGCGACACATCTGTATATACCTTAATAAAGGAAATGACACCCTCCTCCCAGGTGTAATGACCAGTACAGTAGATATATATGTATATTCGAGGTCACCTCTGTATAAAACCGAGTCATATATGCCATATAAAAAAAGGGGAAGGGAATCGAGAATCGGGAATATTTTGAGAACACCCTGTGTGACGTTTTGTCTGCAACACATTTTGTAAATTTTTATAGGACGAAAAATCGGATGGCGGCAATTCCTTCTTGACCAGTAAAGTTTGGTAGGCATGTATATTGATATATATATATATGTCAGCCCTTCCCCCTCAATCAGAATCAAATGGTCCGATACTCGCATTTTAGGATTAATAGAAACCGTTTATTGCCCGGGTTTTCCAGTAATGATGTTAGTTTCCGTTCTCGAGCGAAGCCCAACCTGTCGTCTTCAGAAAACAAAATAAATCATATGCCATATAAAAATTAAAAAAAATATTTATCTATTTGTTTTCTTTTATATGTATGTGCTGTACATAACTGATTCAAATTACTAAGGATATATATATATATATCTATATAATCAAGTCTAAATTGAAAACAACGTTAAAACCTATGATTGCGTTGGATAAAAACCGCAATTTTTATACGTGTGCATGCAAAACAAATTTCTTGGTAGAGGGGTCTAAATACAGCACAAAAACATTTTCCAAAAGACCAAAAAGTGAAAAAGTATATTTTAACAAAACGCATTGACTAACAGGTCGAACAACTGATGTTCTTAAACCCTGCTGGCTGCCATGGCGATTGCCAAATAAACGTATCACAAGATGTAACAAAATGAATCTAATTATTAATTTAATACCAAACAGAAAACAATAAACTTGCGGAAAAGATGGTATACCGCAAACACGAGGTTCAAAAATTTGTACACCATATCCGGATTTCGACAATTAATGTCTCTTCAGTGATGTTAGGAATCTAAACAGTATTTGGAAGGCCATATAATTTACCTCAATTTAGGATAGACTCTTGAATTTTGAAGAGTCGAAATAGGATGAACGGATCATATAAACCCGAAGGCAAATATAATACAAGCCCAAACGAAAAAATATAATAAAGTCTAAATTGAAAACAACGTTCAAACCTATGATTGCGTTGGATAAAAACCGCAATTTTTATACGTGTGCATGCAAAACAAGTTTCTTGGTAGAGGGGTCTAAATACAGCACAAACAACATTTTCCAAAAGACCAAAAAGTGAAAAAAAGTATATTTTAACAAAACGCATTGACTAACAGGTCGATCAACTGATGTTCTTAAACTCTGCTGGCTGCCATGGCGATTGCCAAATAAACGTATCACAAGATGTAACAAAATGGATCTAATTATTAATTTAATAGCAAACAGAAAACAATAAACTTGCGGAAAAGATAGTGTCTAAACATAGCAACAATCAACATTCGATCTATCTAGGCGTGGATCAGTTTGTATATAAACTGATGCAGTTACTACATTAAATTATATAAGTGCCTTAGAATGTAACTTTAACACACTAATGAGTGTTATAATATTGAAATATTGCGTGAATAATATAAAATATAACAACTAATTTTATAACACTCATTAGTGTGTTAAAGTTACATTCTTAGGCATTTATATATATAATGTTTTGTCACTCAATTCTTTATTACTTTGAACAATACAGTTCATCAGTATAGTATGCATAAATATACAATTTACAAGTTATATAGCGTTAACAAACACATAAATAATAAACGTCAGAAATATCAGTCACATATTATACAGTTTGTGAGTTTCAGACTACATATAATATAAATATGTCTTAAATATTGTTTCTGCACTTAAATGCATAGAGTAAGTACTTTCCAAAATTACAAAGTTCCTTAGTATTTTCAACAGAGAGTAATTGTACTAATTTATAAGTTGAAGGTCTAGTCCAATAATATTTCTTGATAAACTTCTTACGTATATCACTATAATTTGTACATTGTAAAATAAAATGAAATTCATCCTCTACGACATTTATATCACACATAATACACATTCTACTAGTTTTACTTATTCCATAAAAACGACCAGTTTCAATACATAGATTGTGTGAGGACAGACGGATTTTCGTTATCCATTTTCGAGACCTTATAGGAATACATTTTCGTAAATAAAATTGTAATTCTACATTTGACACAATATACTTATATATTCTACACTTTGGTGATGTTTCAAGCGTAAAATGTAACTCTTGTTTAGCTTGATCATATAGC